GAGAGAGAGAGAGAGAGAGAGAAGGGGGGGGACTGTGCCAAGCTGTCCATTATGTGACTGTGACGCGTGCAACTTTGTTTCTTCTTTGCCTTTCGCCTTCCAGGAAATGTTCCAAGATGCACGCCCGGCATTATGGCTCTCATGTCAATGCTTCTCCCAACAAGTCCCCCACCAGAAGAGCAACTGCCAAGCAGATTGAATGCTGATTGTTTCATTCATACAATGCAAAACTTGCTTAACATTAGTGGCACTCCTATAGTTGGAGGCGCCTTCCAACAACTTCCCCGGGCCAATCATCAATGACATCATCCGAGCCCACCAAACTGAGACACCCACAGGCGTGTGCACTTGCCCACACAGCGCCCAAACTCAACAAGTAAGCACGGGGCATACATGCAAGATAGCTTGATTACAAACATATCCAGAGAACACAGCAAACAAAGTCTGATTCTGAATCTTTACCAAAAACATCAACGGGACAACGGACTGGATTTTCTCAGAAAAGTCCAGAGTTCTTGCACAGCACAAAACAAAAACGATGCTGCAAAGGTAACGGCTCCCCAAACAAAACATTCAAAGATAAAGAAAAAAGAATGTTGAGTGATGTTCCCTGCTATTTTCTTGCACGCGGGTTTTCATCTGCTCTCAGGCTCTTCATTTTCTTATTGTGAAAGAAGCGGCATATGATAGGGCAGTTCCTTGTGCGTTTTCTTTCTTTTGTTCTTTTTTCTTTTTCTGTTTTTGCGGGCGAAGCCGAAACGGGTCGTCTAGTTATTATTATTATTATACATTCTCCCTTTCTTTGTGTAGCTCTCTCATTTCTCTTTCTCTCTCTCTCTCTCTCTCTCTCTCTCTCTCTCTCTCTCTCTCTCTCTCTCTCTCTCTCTCTCTCTCTCTCTCCCGGTCCTCTCCCTCTCTCTCTCTCTCATACATGCTAATCTCTTTCTCTCCGGCTCCCTCTCTCTATTATTGTAGATGCGAATCTTCTCAGAGTCTCTCTCCTATACATGCTAATCTCTCTCTCTCTTCTCTCTCTCTCTATATATCTATCTATCTATCTATCTATCTATCTATCTATCTATCTATCTATCTATCTATCTATCGTTCCTTCGTGCACGCCAAAAAGGAATCACGACTGTCCAAGACTGTTTCATAGGAGTTTGAACCCCGATAGTCTGCTGAAGATGCATTGGTCGATTAATTGATCGATCGATCGATTGATTGATGGATTGGTTGATTGATTGATTGATTGATTACTCCTTTTGCAATCGGTAGGTCCCCTGCTCGCGATTGAAGGACCTTTTGCGATCGAAGTTGCGATTGAAGGACCTTTGCGATCGAAGGACCTTTTGCAAACGATCGCGATCCCCTTCTGTCCCGACCCTGATCGCCTCTCTCCCGACCGCGATTCCCGATTCCAATCCCCTCTCTCCTGACCCCGATCTCGACGCCGATCTCGACGCCATGCGCCGTGCATATCTTTGAGTTTTGTGTGGGCGCTTGCATGCGTCGTTCGGAATTCGTCATCTGTTTGCATTCGCCGTTCGGAATTCGTCATCTGTTTGGGGGTGCTTGCATGTCTTTTTTCTTTTTCTTTGTAGGGCTTCTTTTTTTTTGTGATTGATTGATTGATTGATACCCGGAACCTACTCGGTTAGAAATCTACCCTCTGCCGATCTGGAACCTACCGTCCGCCGATCCGCAACCTGTCTTTCACGGACCCGGAAACTGGCCTCCGCTGACCGAGAATCAATCAATCAATCAATCAATCAATCAATCAATCAATCAATTGATTGATTGATTGATTGATTGATTGATTGATGAATTGATTGATTGACTAATTGATTGATTGATTGATTGGTTGGTTGGTTGGTTGATTGATTAATTGATTGATTGATCAGTTGATTGATTGATTGATTGATTGATTGATTGATTAGTTGATTGATTGATTGACTGATTGATCGATTGATTAATTGATTGATTGATCGATTGATTGTATGATTGATTAATCGATTGATTGATTGATGGATTGGAGATGGTGGGATCGAACTCCGATTCTTGACCCCAATCCCCTCTCTTTGAACCTCGATCCCGACCCCGATCCCTTCTCTCCCGACCCCAATCCCTTCTCTCCCAACCGTGATCCCCTCTCTCTCGCCCTCTCTCTCTCTCTCTTTCTCTCTCTCTTTCTCTTTGTCTCTCTCTCTCTCTCCCCTTTTCTGCTCGCCCTTTCTCTCTTTCTCTCTCTCTCTCTCTTTAGGTTGCATTTTTATTATATTATGTATGGGTTGCATTTTTATTATATGTCCTACATTCTCATCCACATCCTCTCTCTCTCTCCYCTCTCTCTCTCTCTCTCTCTCTCTCTCTCTCTCTTTGTCTATCTCTGTCTCTCCTCGCCCTTTCTCTTGCTTTTTTTTGTTTTTCTATTTGTCGCTTTTTTAATTCGTAAATTAAACTCGGACTTCGTAGGTAGTTACTCTTATTTTTGCGGTCGTGGCCCGCACCGCCCGCACTGCGGGCGCTTAGCTAGTAATAATTGTAGAACGCGGCCGCACACAAGCATTCGTAGGACTCAATCCGACTACTGGCTTTAAACTTACGTAATTTGGTGGTCCCCCCTCCGGGCAAAGTGTGTTTGACCACTTTTCGGTCCCAGTCAAATTGGGGTTGTGGAACTGAAAGATAGTACATACCCAATAGGATATCCATTGGGAGATCATCGCTAACTAGGAACAAACTCAATGTCTCAACTCCCCTCAACGCGTATGAGAAAAGACACTCAATGTCTTTGAGGTAGTCAGTGACTACCATGCGTTGTTTTTTGGCACAGGTCGACTCCACAGGTCAACTCTGACGCTGTACTTGCCCTTGTAAGCGCAGCCTCTCAACGCACGCACCACTAATAAAGTTCTGCGTCGAGCAAGTGTCATAATAAGCCTCGGCCTGAGGCCGCCGATAACTACCTTGCCGATGAACAACTCACCCTTAGGGGCTTTGGCCATGGCCGTCCAAGAAGCTAGCGGGTCTGATCTAGACCACTCCGCCTCTAGCTCCTCTTCAAACACATTCATCGAACAGAGGTTCGACGGGTCTGAATGTGTTTGCGGGACGACAACGGAGTCAGTAGCTTGGGCCATCTCTCGAGATGGTGGGGGGGTGTCCACCACCCCGACCCTAGTAGGAACAACTACCATTCCTACTGGCCCGACGTGTTTCCCAGAGCAAGGTCGGAACTGCTGGCAACATTGTTACCCTGGAAAGCGGAGGATCCCGTCGCTTGCCCCAAAGTAGGCAGGATCTTTTCCGTCACCTTGTTGTTGTTTCGGCACTTGAGCTGGTTATGACCATATTGGCCACGACGAATACAAGCTTGCCGGGTGTACCGGTCTCTCCACACGTCCTTTGTGAGACCCGCTTTCTCCCATGGAGGAGCGTTGGGGTTTACTGGACTCCTAGACCGGGAGCCTCTGCGGCATCCACCGACTGCCTCACCTTTTTGGATTGAGGCAGCGACTGCTCCACCCCCTGAAGCCTCTGCGCTGCCCACCTCTGAACCTACTCCCTTTTGGAAGTCGTCATCTAATTCGATGGTTGAACCATCGTTATCGACGAACATAATGCGACTCTTCGCTTTCCAGTTGGGAGGCAGTGCCTTCTTCCTACCATCCGTCGTGGGTTGGTGCCCATGCCCTATTTTTGCCTCTAGGTCTAGGGCCTTCTTGTTGAACGAGGGGAAGTTGTGTACATTGATGTTTGGCTTACCCGCCAACTGATTCCTGAGTGGCATGGGAAGACACCTCAGGTAAGTGGTAAGTAAAACATGGGGAACGTAACGTACTCCAGGTACACAGATCAGACGCTCCACTGCGTCTGTGGCATCCCTTAGTGACTTAAACGATCTAGAGTTCAAAGTCAGGATCGCGTCAGTGGCCTTTTGAGCCTCCTGCGGATCATGCCATCTTTCTTCCACGAACTCGAGGAAATCATCCAATCATTGTTGACTGCCCAAGCACGGAAGTCATGTCCGTATCCCTGTAGTTGTACTAACCCGCTTAGCCACCTTGCTGCACTCCCCTCTAAGTAGGAGGCAGCCACAAGCACTTCCTTGTACGGCAAGGTCAACTTGCACTTTACGTGGACTGGTACTGACCTCAACCATGTGTCAAGGTCTTCCCCCCTCTTATCCCCTAAGAAGGGTCTAGGTGAGCCGATGGCAGTCTTCGGAACCCACTGTCCTTGTCCCTGTACCTGCGCCACTCCAGGTTGTGGACCATGGGGTGCAGGCTGCTGCACTAGCTGCTGTTGGGGCTGTGTGCCCTGCGGCTGTGCCGGCTGCGAGACAGCAGACTGCCCAGTTACGGCAGTCTGTAGCGGAGTTTGGGAATACACTGTCTGTACAGGAATCTGTACACTAGGACCTATTGAGAACCAGCCTGTCAAAGGCATACTTAGTAGGGAAGCGACCTGTACCGATGCTGGAGAGACTATATATGGGGATACTCCAGTAACCGGTGGGACAAAAGGAGGAGACTGTACCACAGGCCAGGCACCGGGCCCTGATGGTGATGGTGCTACCAGACAGCACGGCCAGGCTCTGCTGAATGTCCTTCAAAAGTGCCGTGTGCTAGTCTTGCATTTCTATTACATCTAGCAGGGCAGTTCTCACGACCTTTACATCACCATCCATATGAGTCAGGTCCATCTCCACTAACTCTCTAAGGTCTGCTCGTCTCCGCTGCATCCTTGACTTACGTTTGAGCATCCTCTCCTTCTCTGCCTTTCTCTCTCCTAACGCCTTCTGTAGCTGTGCCTCTCGAGCATCTGATCTCTGTATGACGATCTCCTCGGGAGTCGACACCAACTGCTGGCTTGCCATGACACCAGCAGACTGACTCAGGTTCTGTGCAATTGTTGTCCCTACAGTCCCTGAACTACTGGCCTTGGAGCTTTGCTGCGCAGCTGTGGCCATGGCTGCCGAAGTAGCGGCTTCGCTTGTGAACGCCCTTCTTGCCTCTGCGGCCCTAGCTCTCCGCTGCTTCTGCTGTCTTTCCCTAAGCTGACGGAACAGAAGCCTGTCACCCTCGGGTCCTAATGCCACGTGGGCCAATCGGCGCCCTGCCGATAGTAGGATCCTATCGTCCTCGGTGGTTCTCTCCCTGTCACTCATATGCTACAGCACTGCACACAATCTGCAGTAGGTCACACTCGATGCCTACCGCAGCGTAGTGCACAGACCAATTTAAAAATAAATAAAATAATTAATCGGTGGCTATGTCAGAGTCTACACATTTGGGTCCAACAGGTAAGTCCAGATTCCTACAAACGAAACTATTTTTACTTGATTAGTCTGCAAACAGAAAGCAGATGAGGAGAAACTGTTCTACCTACGCTCTGTCAGATGTCAATGGCTGTACATCCAACTAGTCAAAGGTAAAAATAGAATCATTTGTGGGGCTGCTAGCAGGATGGAATTTTTTCCCAAACTTATCACCTGAAATCTACCCCTTCCTCAATTCTTCCTGATTGTCTCTTGACGTCAGCGTTCCTGAGCTATCCAGATAGTGTGCGTGTCTAAAGGTGTGCACACGGCCCACCCCCGTGCCCCGAGTCAATGCTGAGCTGGCCAGCCCTGCACCATGTTTACCCTCGAGTGTAGCCAGCCTTACACCGACTGATTGGCTGATCAAGAGGCGTTTAAGGACGGCCCCCGAACTCCTCAGGAATTATTTAATGTCGCAGACAGGACGACGATCACAACCAATGGAAGGTAACCCCACAGGTACTTATTTATAGACGTCCGGTACTCGTCTCCCCTGTAGGGCTGGCCTGTCCCTCATAACCCATCTAACAGCGCAGCGAGCAGACAAAGAACAAGTGGCAAAGCATGCGTGCTCTACTCCCGGTGGGTTGGCATGGTGACCGTGACCCAGTGCTTCGTCCGGGGCGCTTCAGATAGCTCCGCCCTCGCCTTCCAAATGCTCCACGTGAACAATGCCGACTCTCAAGATTGAGCGCACTTGACTCCTCACATGAGAGGACTCTCAAGACAGAACACATCCTCATGGTAAGAAGTGTCGAAGGGGGTAGATAAGGTTAAGAGCAACGTACCTCAAAATAGCTGCCCCCAACCACACAGATTCTCACCAGATGATCCGATGTCGATTGTGATGACCAATCGCTTCTTCGGCACAACCAGCTTTACACCGCCGTTCCACCTCAGCATCAATCGCACATCGGATAGTTCTCAGCACACTGCGAAACACCCATATACCACCTCGTAGCCTTCCTGGTGATACCCCTGCTTGCCTTCGCCCTCCTTCGTACACACTCCCTAAGGCCGCTCACCCAGCAAACCGCATGCATGTACCGCATAGGCAGAGGACAAGCGCCAGATTAGCGCAACGTTCCACAGCTTCGATACCAAAATGCAAGGAAAATGAGCGATAGCGAATTCCAGAAAACCAAGCAGCATCATACACATGAAACCAGATAGTCGTGACCTCGAACCAAAAGCAGAATTGCAACTCGAGTTCCACCAAATAAGAGTACAACAAAAGCTCACATGTGACAATGTTGAAATAGTCTCATCATCATCAACAAAGAACCAATGTCGACATCCTATCTGGCGCTCTGCGCCCAGACTACAAATGGCAGATCCTATCTAGCCTATCTACAATGCCGCTGGTGACGTCAACAGCTCCCTGAAGTACGAGCAGATCTCAGACAATGCCGTTTGCCTCAAGCACCAGGTATGTCTCTCGTATCACTCACAACCTCGATCCCCTACTCACAGATGCCGCATGCACCCAAGGACCACCATGCGCCCCATCCAGCTTAGCGCAGGGCAGCTCTGCTATGGCTGCCTGCTCTTCCTGCTCGCCCGTGAGCGCATGGGCGCTGTCCAGCGATTAGCGCAGCAGCACTTGCGTAGCATGCAGCCAGTGCCTGGATGCCGAATGGGAGGGCAGGCACTTTCCTAAATGGAAGTGGCCTGCCCGCTGCATGCGGCCTGGCTGCACTGGGCCCCGGCCCAGATTCTTCCGGTAGGCCCCGAGAGGCTGAGCCCCAGTCCAAGCGAATCAGGCCCAGGGCCTATGGCGGTTGCCTGTGTCCAACTGCCCACAGCCTGTGTTGGGTCCATGTTGCGTATCTCGCCCAGGGCCTGCCTCAGATACATTTGATAAAGGCAGCCAGGGCCTTGGCGCTCTTAACCAACTGGCGCTGCAGCGCAACTGCCTGAATTTCCCCAGTTGCGTGGTAGTCCAAAATAGGCCTCTCGTCCTTGGTCGGGCCTGCCTTCATTTAGGGCGGCCCACCTTGCTGAAAACAGGGCTCGTAAGGGCTCGTCGAGGCCTTGAGCCTCGCAATAACTTCATATAACTTAAAAGTTCGAACTTTGTTGTTCAATTCAGAACTTCAGACTCTTCAGACTGGCAGCTCTCTCTCTCTCTCTCTCTCTCTCTCTCTCTCTCTCTCTCTCTCTCTCTCTCTCTCTCTCTCTCTCTCTCTCTCT